TGTTAAAGTCTTTTAAATTAACAACAACTATAAGTTAATTGAAAACTAATAAATATTATCATAGCAATCGTTTATTATAGCAAATATTATTATATTTATTGCGCTGCTGCAATTACAGAAAGTAAACAACTATAATGGCTGATGGAAAAATATTATTTTAATACCAAAACATCGTTATTTATAAAACTTCTTACTAAGTTTTCTTAAAAAGCTACCAACAAATGGTTTAAATTTTGATAGTTTCAGAATGTACAAATGTACTATATTCAAAATAAAATAAAAAATTTCATGGAACTTGATATAAGGTCTTAGGTCACCTTTAGGGTACCCGTGAGCAACATGTATCACAATATGCTATTGTTAATAGTTTGAGTAAATCCAAAATATGTCAAATATAACCCCAAATATGAAAATAAAATCCAAAATATGAAAAATAAAACTGCCCGCATCTTTATTCTCCATTTTGAAAAGAAAGGCATCGAATATATTTATTTTGCAAATTTGTGGCATGTTTAAATATTTTGCCAGAATCAAATAATACTACATTTTTGGGATTTAAAAATGAAAAAAGCTATTTACTATTTTCAGGGACGTAAAACAAGAATCTATCTGATTTATAACTATATCTATAATTGTGTTAAATACATCAAATTGATGATGATTAAATTGATCAAAACGAAAATCTACACAACTGTCATCACAACTGTTATCACAACTGTCATCACAACTGTCACCACAACTGTCATCACAACTGTCATCACAACTGTCATCACAACTGTCATCACAACTGTCATCACAACTGTCATCACAACTGTCATCACAAGTGTCATCAAACAGTTTTTTGTTTGTTTCATTCGTGTTTGTTTAAAAGTTTGAACTATATTCCACTTTATTGGAAGAACTTTTGCTTTTGCAAGAATATCATTAAAATTATTACGTAGTGATTATATTTTTTTTATTCCAGTTTTTAATAATATACAAACTTTATCAAAAATCCACATTTTTAGATTGGAATAATTTCAAAACAATATTTAATGATGCTAATATTTTATAATTGATACCAATATGCAAAGAAAATCTATAATCTTTCTTAAACTTGTGCTATTTATGTATTTTTGTTTTCTAAAATAATTATTAGCTTTCATTGCATCTACATATCTATGTTTTATGGCTAAACAAAATGATAAACAAGATGCCCAGCAGGTAGGATTTAGTTTTTTTAAACTTACTACTTGTGATTCAACTGATATATTTTTGATCATATGTCCCACCTATTTATGTTAATACCAAAAAATGTATATATTTCTTGTATACTAGAAAAAAAGTTGCTAATATACGGCACCCCATTTATAGCATCATTTATAAGTAAATTTAAATTGTGGGTTGCACAATGAATGTTGCGATTTTTTCTATTTCTTTTATTCTTGTTACCTCAGAGTAAATGCCACTCATGTTGCTTGCCTCGTCATAACCTTGTTCCCTACATTTTTTCAAGTCAAGACCAAATGATTTTAGTATATCAATAATTTGATTTGATATTGCACTTGACGATTGATTGTTAAAAAATCCTATAAATTTTTCTTTAATTTTTATTAGGAGAAGAGATCCATTTATGTTATAACAAATTTTAACAAATCGAAAGGAAATACTAAGTTAGTTTTAGATAAATCTTAAGTAGTATAACCTTTATAAAAAAAAGGAGCTTTATTGATATCATTGATAATTTTTCTTTCTAAATTTTTTGACAAAGGACAAATAGTTTCATTCTGAAATTTTTGATAAATAATTAACATGGCCACAAGATAAAGATATCACTTCTTTTCAAAACACTATCATATTCTGCTAATAATTGAAAAAAAAGTTACCATTATAAATATCTTTGAGTGAACCATTTTGCCCTCAAAAAGAACTACAATTTTTAGCTAATTTCAATGTTATTTTAGTAAAACTTTTGCCCCAAATATTTCTTTTGAATATTTTCGAGCAACATCGAGTATCTATTGTTTTTACTTTCGAGTAACATAGTATCTATTGTATCTATTGTTTTTTCCTCTTTTCATTGTTTCAACATAAAACAAGTAATTATGTGAACCACAGAAATTTTATGTTTTTTTATTTTTTTTGAAAGCTCCTGCCAGTCATTAATACCCTGTATCCGACCATTGTCTTTTTCTCGCTTGAAATTAACCAACAAGGTTGACAGTAAACTAAGTTTTTGTTTGGTAAGTAGCACAATATTCCTGATTTTGTATCTTTTAATAGTAATTTATAGAAAAAGAACGATTTTTATCATCTTTATGAAAAGATACTTTAGAAACAACAAGGACCAACAGATAAAATGATTTTTTTTTTTTCTACCATTATGACATTTTTAAAATTTGCAAAATCAGAAGGGTTTTGCTCACAAATAAATTTCAGATAAATTACATGTTTTTAACTGCTTTTTTAGTGGTATTTTAGTTGTATTTGACATATTTGATGTTTCTATTTCAGAATACTTTTCGATCGTATTAATATTTTATTAATATTTTCTAGTTGTATTGTGTTTGAAGTTGAAGAAAAAAAAGAGGTGAGTCTTGGTATCTTTAGCAGCTGTTTTTCAAATGTTTCATTAGCTATTTCTTTATTTTTTATCTTTCTAAAACCAAATAAAAAGACATTAAAAAAAAAAAAAAATCATAACATCTAAATTACAAAACATATATAAAAGAACAGAAAAGCTGGCAACTAAGTTCAAATAGGGGTGGGGGAGGGGGGCACATGCTAGTAACTAAATTCAAATACTAGTCAAATAGTTTGCTATTTATTTAGTTATTAATATAAAAAAAAACTAAATTTTTTAAAAACACTATTTAAAAACTACTCTAATATAAAAAAACTAAAACTATTTAAAAAACTATTTTTAAAAATTTAGCGGCATATATTAAAGCTTTTTTTTTTTTAAAAAAAAAAAAAAAGGTGTTAATTTTTTAAGGTAAGTAAGCAAGTTAATGTTTTACTAAAATAGTTTAATTATTTAAGTTGCTTAATTATCATACTTTGCATTAAATTGTTACAATTTCATAATTGCAACTTTGAAAATTGTATAATATTTTATAAATTAGTGTAGTTTATTTTAATATTTGTAGATACATTTAAATAAAAAGTTGCTCACTATTTAAAGAACTAGTCAAGATTATTAACTTCATTATGATAGTACAAGGTGTTAAATGTTAATAGGTATGTTATTTTTCATACCGACACATTTTTAAATTTTTCTTAGTTGTCTTGGGCCCCAAATAACTCTAGGCCTCCCCGCAGCTGCAGGCCCTTCGCTACGCAACTATATATATAAATTATAATACATAATTCATAACTTTTTCAATAATAACAACTAACATACAAAAGATTAGAAAAATATCCTGAAAAAAAGATTATCACATGTAAAGAGGGAAAGCAATTAATTAGAAAAGGTGAAAGTCTGATTAAACAGGGTGATCAACTTATCAAGCAGAGTAAAGGTAAACTGAAAAAAAGATGATTTATATAAATATATATATATATATATATATATATATATATATATATATATATATATATATATATATATATATATATATATAAATCATCTTTTCTCTCTCTCTCTCTCTCTATATATATATATATATATATATATATATGATTTATATATATATATATATATATATATAGAGAGAGAGAGATTTAAGGCTGTTTTGTATTAAAATGATAAAACAAAACTCATAATTGTAAAAAAAATTGTAAAAAACCATAACTATGTCACAATCTGTGCATAGAATGATAATCCATGTTGCTTCTTTTATTAGGTAAGTATCCTTCTATAGGTTCTGAGAGTGCTATTGAAGCCAGAAAAAAGGAAAACAAAACTGCACAAGTTGGTAATGCATGTCTAACTTTCTTGGCAGAAAACACTAGGGATACAGCTAATTATTTATGACATCAGATATGTACATCTATTTCAAACAAAAAAAATATATTTTTCTTTTAAATATAGAAATACAAACAAAAGTTTAATGACATTTGAAAAAATTAGTTCAATATGTTGAATACTTGTTTATTTATAAGCCTATTTCCTTACTTTGTATTAGAGCGACGCATAGTGTGGCATATAAGTCCACTGAAATTCCTCTATAGAATATTTCCTGGAAGGTTTCTGCTTTTTCTGAGAATAATACAAGCTATGTAACTAGTTACATCTAAGTTAAAACAGCTTTACATTTTCAGAAAGATCCCCAAAAATTAATGTTTATATATGTCATTCTGAAATCTAAACAACTCTTTGTTATAAAAATTCTGAAATCTGACAAAAAATTTTGAAATCTACAAAATTTTAAATCTTGCAAATTTGTAGATATAAACAATTTTCAAATTTTGTAGATTGCAATTTGCAAACTACAAAAAATATTTTTAGAAAGATCCCCAAAAATTAATGCTTATAAATGTTATTTTAAAACTCTTGGTCATAAAATTTTTGAAATCCGACTCTTGACATATTGTATTGCATGCATATCGTTAAAAACATGACATTTTTGATAGAAAATGCAACAAATAAATTTTTTATATTTTTTATTATATAACCTTTTATTATATAACCTATTATATATACACCATATATTTAATATCTTTTTTATTTATCATACATACATTTATTTTAAATATCTACATTATATTTAATCTATACCTTATTCAAAATTTAAATGTAACAACCAATGTCACAGAAAAAACTAATTATATATACTATTGAGTTTTTTAAGTAAAATAATTTGTATCTTCTAAGAGTTTTTTTCCACCAAAATATAAATGGCCGATTATAAATAATAAAATGGTTAAAAAAAAAAACAACAATAAAATTGTATATACTCAATAGTATTAATAATATTATCAAAAAAATTAGTGATATATATTTTAAAATACAAAACTGCAAAAATACAAAACAATAATTAAATTAAAATAGAAATTTCAAAAAAAAAAAAAAGACTCACAGTATAACTCCAAGACTCCAAATATCACATTTTTTGTCATAAGCAGCTTCGCTAACAAATGCATCAACTACTTCTGGAGCCATGTATTCTGCAGACCCAACCTTAAGTTAAATACTACAAATATTTTAATGAGTGTACCAAGACCATCTCTAATTAAATGTTCATTATTGCTTGCTTTATATTTGATATTATAAATTAAAGATTAAACTGAATAAACTCTTTGTAACTAATCTAATTTACAGATCAGGAAACTAGGTATTTTTATTGTTAATCAATCATTGGAAAGATAATTGCAATACATCTACTAGTTAATCAACAATCACTGAGAAGATAATCATTCAATCAGTTACCACTATAAAGAAAATCATTCAAGATTTAAAACACCTTCCCTATCCAGACTTAAATAAGTAATTTATGTCCCTTCTTCTAGGTGATTTTTCTCAACAACTAAGAAGCCTTACTTCTGTTAAACGTAATTAAATTATATTTTGGTTTATTGGCAAATAACACACTTGGTTTATAATTGCATTATAAACCAAGTGTGTCAATCGTGTTATTGGTAAAGTAACTCGCTTCATTTAGTTTAATAAATTTTACTTAAGTTAATAAAACTTGTATCTTACTGGTGTATACAGTTCTGGAGTGGTTACACTGTCATCAATTATTGAAATACCACTAGCCAAGTTAAAATCACAAATCACTGCTGGAACTATCTAAGAAAAAAAGCAAACAATTTTTTTTACCAAAAATAAACAAATAAACAAATAGCTTATAACTTTTTAAAAATGTTTAAACTTGTACTATTCCATTATTTATACTTTTAAATTATGTCATTTTAAATATTCCAAACTTCTTATAATATACACAAAATGCACACACATACCACTTACCTCATCTTTATTGATACATAGAATATTATCCGGCTTTAAATCTCTATGAGAAATTCCTATAAAAGATATAAAACATGTAAACAATGAACAATAACTGATTTAAACAAAAGCATAACGCATAATACAATAACTATTTTTACCAAACATTTATATTCACTATAAAATACTCAGTAGGAGACAGTAAAGTATGTTAGATGTTAAAAACTATTTACTTGATAAAAAATGTAAAAACATAATTTATAAAAACTCTAGTCTTGTCTTAATAAGTAAAAATACAACAATGAAAACAATAATTAGATTTACAGAATGAAACAGTAAAATTTTTTACGTGTACATGTTTGTGTATTTTTTAAATTACCTTTGTTATGCAAAAATCTCAGGGCTGTAGCAATATCTTGCACTACAAGACTGGCTTCTCTTTCTGTAAAAACACCTTTCTTTTCAATGTGAGAAAGTAGAGGTCCTAAAATATAAAAACTTGTTCACACACATATATATATACATATATATGAATATATGTATATATATATATATATATATATATATATATATATATATATATATATATATATATATATATATATATAAAGACTTCACTTTATAAAGAAGGTTTTAGTCAAAGAAAAATTGCTGAAAAAAAAAAAAAAAGGTGTATGAAAGCGAACTGTTCAAATAAATATTAAAAAAGAAAAAGATGGCTGTATAGTGACTTGCAAAAGATCCGGTCGACCAAAAATTATTAACAAAAGAGGTGAAAATTTGATAAAAAGAATGGTGGTAAATAATCCAAGAATCTCTTTAAAGGAAATATTGAAATAATTGAAAATATTGTTGCAACTTAATTTACACACATTTATGTCAATGTTTACATAAAATAAAGGTTTTATGATAAAATGTTTAAAAATTCCGTTTTTTTTTTGGGGTGGATACACACTTTTGGCCACCAGTGTATATATATATATGTATATATATACATATATATATATATATATATATATATATATATATATATATATATATATATATATATATATATATATATATATATATATATATATATATATATATTTGGGGTATAACTTTGGTATCCCCTCTTCCCAGTACAAAAAATAGATGAACTTTGATTTGAAAATAACTAAAAAGCATTTATTTTGTTTACCTTTAGAAGGGTCACCCTAAATCCCCCTTTATTACATGCTGAATCCCATATATCAGAAAAACTTTATTTTTCCAAAAATACATTAACCTGTGTCTAAAAAGAACCAAAATTTTATAGAGATTTTAAAATTTAAAATTTTTTATTAAAAAAAAAAAAATTATTGCTGTAAAATAACATAAAATGACCATATCAAGTTTTATTCAAAAACATCATTTTTTTTAAAGGTAAAATTTTAGCTATTTCACAGGTCTACAAAAAATTTATTAATTTAAACTTAAATCTGACACTTTTATGGCAAGCTACAGATTTTTTGCAATAAAGTTTTTATTTTACAAAAATTAGAACTAATTTTTGAAAAACTTTTTTGGAACTCATTTGGAAACCACTGTATAATGGTAGAGCCAAATTTTTACATGAATTTTCTAAAAGCAGGTTTACACTCAAGTGATTTCTTCAGCTACAGTGACTTAAAAATCACAGCTGGAAAAGGAGATTCTGGTACATTTTGGTTGTTGCTCACTGCAATGATTTATCAAGTTTTGTGAATCATATTATTCAATTTCAAAAAACTTCTAAAAAGAAACTTATGGTGGTTATTTTTTTAAGCTAGGAATTTATGGTGGCAAAGGTTTTCTCAAATTTTATCTCATTGTCAATACTGCATTAAGGAACCAAACCATAACAACCTCTCACTCAAAGGACTGGCAAAGACACTAGAGTCAAAAAACATTCTTTTGCAGTATCAGAAGATTGGCCAGAAACTCACTTCAATATTGAACAAATCTGATCACTAATAAATGCAAATGGAGTTAAAATAATTTTTTTCTGGTGATATTCAAGTTGCAAATATAATTTATGGTCTTTAAGCCCAAGTAAAATTGGGTTTAGGTTTATGAAAGACATTTATTATAGCATATATTTATATATGTATAAATAATAAATATATACATATATATGTGTGTATGTGTTTTTTATTTACATACATACACATGCATGTGTATATACATAAATAGAATATACTTACAAGTACAGCTCAAATTAACATATATATATATATATATATATATATATATATATATATATATATATATATATATATATATATATATATATATATAAATTACCCAACATTTATAGAGAAAACAGTATTCTGCTAAGCAAAGTTTTGTTGATGTCTGTTCAACAATATTATCTATAAATAATACAAGATAAAAAGAATAGAAAAATAAATCAGAAATTATAAGATAATGATCTTAAAAAGTAACAACCTTTCTATGAAATTAGACTAGTGAACTTCAATTATAAATTTAAAGCTTAAAATTACCAAAAAAATCATTTTTTAATGATTAAATATCAATTTAATCAATTTCTTAACAGGTCAAAACCTTTACAAATGATCCATACTCATTTGCAGACAGATATCCTAATAATGTAATCTGTTCTCCAGATTTGTTGACAATTCCTGTGATAATATCATTTTCTTTGATCATTTTGGGAATAAAGCTTAAGCAAACTCAAGTTAGTTAAAAAAATACACATAATAAATAATCTACAAAGAAAGTCTTACAAATTTAGAAATAATGTTAATTAAAAATGAGATTGCCAATAAGGTAGATTACAAACAGATCATTGATGATTTAAAAAGCCAATTGAGTGGTCAATCTCTTTTATTAAAATAAACAGTAAAGCAACAATCACATAAGTTAAGCAAGTACAGGTCATTTTGTTTTAAATATAGTAAACTGCAGTCTTTATATAAAACTCTTTATTTATTTGATCCTAAATGAAACTTTAAGTGAGATCAATGAACAGCAGGTCCATCTAGACCTGCTGTTAGACCTGCATGATAAGCAGGTCCAATGTTTGTAAAATCAACAGCTCATAATCAAGAGGTTCAAGGTTTAAGTCCACCCTACTGTTCTGGGTTTAAGTCCACCCTACAGTACCATTTTCAACCTATCTGCAGATTGTACCACATTCGACCTGTCTATTTATGCAGTGATCTTATTTAACATGTTTCACTTGCTTTGAAATTGATCAGGGTTAAGAGTAAAGAATAAAAAGAAAAAGAAAAGAAAAAAAGTCCTCGATTTCAATGGGTCTTCTGAAGTATTAGGAAGGTAAACTTAATAATAATAATAAAAGTTTACTATATCAAATTAGACTTGAACATTATCAAAATCTCAATGTCAAAAAAATAATTAGTAAAAAAATAGGTGTATGGTGTTGTACTATATATATTTGGATATATGGTGCTGTACTCCATTATTTAAAAATGAAACAAAAGGTTTCATTCAATAGCTGAAAAACTCAACATAAAAGCAAGCTCATTTCGATTCATCAAACACTTTTAGAAGAGGCATCAGATTTTAATAATCAGAATTTAATTGCTGACCATAAATACAAGATAAATTTAAAATTTAGATTCATTTATTTTTATATATTCAAGAACGCTGCTTGTATGCACATATTTGATAAATCAATAAGTACAAGAACTGTTAACAAGGGAAATATCTTTGCTGACCAATAGAACAGCTTCTTTTAAAATGATCTAGTTATCAAAAGAAATTTTAAAAACATTTTTCAAAACTTAAATCTTTAAGTTAGCAAGTTGCCAATAATATTGTTAATATATATATCAACATTGATTACACTATTTTGAATAAATTAGGATTGTTTTAAACTATTTCTTATGTAGTGTTAAGTTATACTATAAAAAAAGTTGACTACACTGTTCCAATGACGTTTCTAGTTTAGTTGACTACACTGTTCCAATGCACAATAACTGATGACCAAATTGAGAGCAAATTGAGGTTTGTAACCAATCAGTAGTGCAACTGGCTTTACATTTTTTAAATGTTTAAAATTAAAAACTATAACAAAATAATATTCATTAATTAGTTTATAACAAAGTTGTTTACTTTTTCTTTATTTGTAAATTTGAAACTTAAAAAAGCACATTAAGTGAAAATTTATTATGCTGATTACTAAACATATTTGTTGAGATTTTTGATCTTTGAATTCAGATCTTATAATAAAAAAAAAAAAGACAATATTTTAAAATCCAAAAAAAAAGGTTATTTTTTGTTTAACGCTAGACACACCACATACATTTCACTTAACAAAGATTGTTTTAAATGCACCTTTGAGTTTCATTAGTGACAAGTAAAGAACAGCAACTATCTACTAGAAATTTAGACAATAAAAATAATGACTCATTGTCAACTGAGACAAAACAGTCTCCGCTATTTTTCCAAAAACCAATTTGCCTCGTTGCTGGTTCCAATATTCCCAATCAATCTATCACAGGATCAATAAACAAATTTGTTTATTGAAGACAGTCAGAATGTAGAAATAGTAGCACCAATAGACCATAACCATAGACCATTATTTTCTAAAGAAAAGATTTGTATTAAAGATGTAAAAAGAGCTTTTAGAATTTTAGATGTCTAACCCACATACTACACTAGTTTACTAATAGTACAGAAAAATGAAAAATAATGATTATTTAATATCTAAAAAGTAACTGAAAAAAAAAGAAAAAAAGAAAAAAAGAAAAAGGTAAGGAAAAGAAAAAAAAAGAAACAATTTGTTCCAAAAATATTGTTTGTACTTTGATACTTAATAATGGATTTTTTATAATATTTTTACTGTAGAAAGCACTCTAAATTTACTAGACTAATTATTGACAACTGTGTTCACTGTTACTGTAAAGACTTATAAAATTAAATTTACTTACCACCTTCCATTCTTTCAAATACCAAATAAAACCTAAATTTATAAAAAAAAAATAATAATAATAAAAACCTAATTTTTTATTTTAAAATTTTTATTTTCTTTTTTATGCTCTTTTTTTTTTTTTTTTTATGACAATAAATATTTAATATGTTTGTTAAAATGGCTACTTTATACATTAAATTTTGTTAATGTGAACTATAAGGAACATCTCTTCTTTTTTCTTTTATTTAACTGTGTAAGTATGCAAAAAAATATGGCACCCATTGCTTTTTCACATACTGACCGTCACACAATGGAGTGTATTTGACAAAATAGTCAATTAAAATTATATCTAATAATTAAAAAAATTATACTAATTATATAGATTATAAATTTAGTATTATATAGATTATAAATTTATAGGTGAAAAAAATTATTGCATATATTTATTTTTTGTACTAAATAATATTTTTATCATTTTAAAACCTTAAATATAATGTAAAGACTTCTTCATTTGATTTGTAAGCATTGCCATGATCAGTTACCTCAAGGATGTCTTCTTCAGGTTTAAATATTTTTTAGGTGGTTTGGGTTTTAGATTAAGATCAGATGATTACAGTCAACTTTTGACTGTAATCAAAAAATTTCAAAAAAGTTTTTTATGTTAAGTTTTAACTTTGTTAATATGTTTCTGCTGTAATATTGCCAATACTGTCAAAAAAATTTATCTTGCCTATACAGCCTCATCGCAGAGCTCCTATAAACAAGATTTTTAAGCAGTTGTATTTTTCAAAGTTAACTGACTTTTTTTTTTACAAACCATGAAAATACAAATCATTAGAACTTATAAATCCCTGATTTCAAAAAAGTGAGCAAATTTATTTCAAAAGTAGAAAGTAAATGTAGTTTTATATACCGTGTTTTACAATATCTATCACTTTGAATTTCCAAAGTTCACACAAGTTTATTTTAAGATAAAAATCTAAACTTTTTTTCGAATAATCACTTAGCAGTAGAAATTGAAGATTAGTCCCATTTTTTCTTGCACATTATTTATAATTTTTATTTATATTTTGACATTACTCTTGTTGCTAATTTCAATTTTGTTTCTGAGAACAAAAATAAAGATAAAAGTCAAAAAAAAATTTAATAGCCTTTTTAGCACTATTGTTTCTACATTGCATTTAGCACTATTGTTTCTACATTGCATTTAGAAATTTCAGCTTGTAATTAACCAATAATTATCATTATAAAAAAAAAAAAAATTATTAAGTAGGTAGAGGCAAATGAAAAAATTTCTTAAGGAAGAAGGTGACGATTTAAAAACTCAAGATTTAAAAATTATAAAAAACATCCAACACTTGCAGGATGTTTTTATTAATTTTTAAATCTTGAGTTTTTAAATCGTCACCTTCTTCCTTAAGAAATTTTTTCATTTGCCTTTACCTACTTAATAATTTTTTTTTTTTTTATAATGATAATTTTTGGTTAATTACAAGCTGAAATTTCTAAATGCAAGAATCTCAGTTTGTGGGTCTGCTTACTTAGGTCTGCAGTTTGTTATTTCTATATTTGACTATCACTGACTTATTTTTTATATAATGCTAAAAAACATTTGATTGTCTTCATATAGCTCATTAAAAAAAAAAAAAATTTTCTTGGTTTTATTTGATTGTAAAAAATCTTTAAAAAAAATGTTATTCTAAAGGTTTTGAAAAATCAATGTTTAAAATACCACTTTTCATAAATTAATAAATTCCATAAGAAATCTTATAAATCATGTTTCATAAGTGTTAAAAAAAAAAAATCCTTTAAAAAAGTAAATAATATTTACAATAAAAAGATCTACATTTATGTATATTACACATATAGGTGGCATATTACACAGTACATTACCATTAATATTGGCCATGTTTATGATGTCAAGATGATTTATTAACTATTTTTAAGGTAAAAATAGATAATAATTATCTTGTTTTTTCTAATTTACACATTTTCATATTTTGTATTAGTCAAACTTATTAAAAATATATAGCTTTTCAGACTTAATATATTTAAATACTTTAATTATCATATAACTTCATATAATTAAATAACTGTATCAGAGTTGTTAACAAGGCCAAATATAGTAAGGTCAAGGCCACACATTGCAAGGCCAAGGCCAAGACCAAGGCCAAAAGTTACAAGGCCAAGGACATGGTAAAGGCCTACGCAAACATTTTCAAGACCAAACACTTTAATTTTTGCCTTATGTTAAGGCCAATTATTAACAAAACTGTAGCAAGTGCTGTGACAATAAAACCATATTTTGTAAAAATAGACCAAGGTTATGTGCTTAATTCAACAAAATCATTAAAATATGTATTTTTTTTAAGGCCAAGGCCAAAACAATCAACGCCAAGGCCAACATTTTCAAGGTAAAGGCCAGCAGTTTTAAGGTCAAGACCTCTATTTTTGGCCTTACGACCAGCCAAAGCCAAGTACTAACAACTCTAAACTGTATATAATTTTTATTTATTATCAAAATAACCTGCCCAACACTTCAGAACCACTATTGTCAAGTTATACTCATTTATTTAATAGCTAACAATTTAATAAATTAAATAGTTAACAATTATTACTATTTTAACTTGTAAAGTAGTGGTATGTAACATATTTAAAAAGTGATATACCATTGCAAAACTGGTTACAATAAATCCTGGAGAGAATAAAAAAAAAAAAAATTCTACAATTTCATTGTAAAATCTTAATTTGTAAACCTTAGGAATGAGGAGCCTTCACTAATCTAGTGTAAAAAAAACATTTAAAAAGTATATCTTTTGAAAAATTGATAGAAAGTTCAGAATCCAAAGTATAAAGGAAACAATCTTTGATTTGGTTACCATGGTTAATTTTACGTTTTAGTTATGGTAATCATCATAGCAGAATCAAAAGCACTCACTCCTGAATTACAAAACAGGTTAACGTGAGGAAGGACAGTTGGTTGTGACAAAACTTTACCATGTCATAGTTAAATAAGAAAATGACATCATAGAAACCAATCCAAACCACACATATGTGAGGAACATGGACATTTAAAAAAAGTTTGCAGTAAAAATTTAATTATTGATTAAAAAGTTACTGTAAAAAAATATCTCTTCAACAAGTTATTCTTATAACTTTTTAATTTTTTTTTAGAATTTCAAAATTAAATGATTTCTTTTACTCTTTTAAATTCTTTTAATTTTTTATAAAAATCTTTTTTCACCTGTCTAAAAACTATTTTATCAACTGTCCTGCAGAGTTGTTAACAAGGCCAAAAGTAGCAAGACCAAGGCCAAAGTCACACGTTACAAGCCCAAGGCTAAGACCAAGGCCAAAAGTTACAAGGCCAAGTCCAAGAGTGTTAAAGTCAAGACCAGGATTAATAATTTTAAGGCCAAGGCCTACGCAAACATTTTCAAGATTAAACACTTCAATTTTTGCTTTAAGTTAAGCCAATTATTATCAAAACTGTAAGTAGAAAGTGCTGTGACAAAAAAAACACTTTTTGTAAAAATGGACCAAGGTTATGCAAGGCCAACAGTTTCAAGGCCAAGACCAAGACCATAATTTTTGGCCTTAAGGCCAGGCCAAGGACTAACAACTATGCTGTCCTGCAGGTTATTTGGAGATTTTATCTTCATATGAGTATTAAAAATAAACAACCATGAAGAAATTTAAGAATAAAAAATATAAGAACAGAAAAAAAATGATTGTAATAAAAAGTAACAAAAAATTGAAATAATGGTGAGAAACAAAAATTGAAAAATTGAACAAAAATTGAAAAATTGTTGAAAAATTTTAAAGATGAAAACTTTTTGAATTATTGAAAATTTAAAGGACTTTTTTACATACAACTGTTTCATAGATTACTTGTTTCTTATATAAAAAGGCATCTGCCATGGTAATGACATTTATTAAACCAGAAAGAATGAATTTTTTTTTTCAACAAAAACAACATGATCTAATATGCATTATGTTTTATTATGAACAAAAAGAAAAAGAAATATAAAATTTTATGCTTTTTACCTGCTTCCATCTTCATAAGAATCATATAAATGTAGGATATTCCTATATAAGAAATACATGAGTTAGTAAACTTTTACAGTATATGTTAAATGCCCTAAATTATGGAATATTTGTTAATATATACACCCTATGATCTATATGGCAATGTATAGATTTTCTGGGATAATATATACACCCTAATATCAAATAACAACAAATTTATGCTTTACTAGTAAAAATATTTTCTGATAAATAAAATTTTTTATACATTAGTTTGCTTTTTATAACTTTTATGTTGTTTCCTTTAGTCTGTATATTTTTTATTTGATCTGTTTTGTTTGTTTTTAAATTTTTTTTTCTTTTTTACATTTTTACTTGTTGTTAAGCAAGAATAATAAACTCATAAATAGCACTAATTACTTGTGCACTTAGGTTTTATTACTGCTAACACCTGGTATTAGTTTGCAATAATAACACCCTAGTGCACCCACTGGTGCATAAAAATTAAGTAAACTCTACTTGTTTTATTTTCTAATAACATTATTATTACATTTCTAAGATTTGAACCAAAAAAAATATTACTATTTACTAGGGTGTTATTACTGCTAAAGTATTTGTGTGGTGTACTAACAGTATTTTTATTCAGCATAGCAGTAACTATTACTAGCAGTAACTTGTATACAAACAATAATTTTTTTGTAAAGTAAGATTGATGTCACAAACAAAAATAAATCTCTATATATTTTATTTCAAAAAGTAGATGTTTTCTACCCTATGTAACAATATAAATACATTTGATATATATTAAATTCCCTTTTTGCATAAATTCCTTGATTTCCTGGATTTGCCAAAAAAATTCGCTAATACCAGCATTTATTATATCATACACAAAAGCAATACTCAGTCATACACATACAAGCATGGAGAGCAATACTGGTTTAATTTTATGTGTGCCATTTATTTTAGTTTGGTTGTCAAATATATATCTTGTTTGTTTTATATTATAATATCTAGATTATTTTCTTTTTTTAAGTTTATATTTATACAAATATATATATTTTTATATATTACTTATATATTTTTTTATATTTTTTATATCTTATTTTAACTCAAGCTAATATCAGGCATCAGCTTCCTATGGGTTATATTGTATCTTATGGTTATACTATATTCCCGCAGGTTATATTATATTTTTAAAAATATTTAAAATAAAAGAATAAGTACTCTTTGTTTTGCTTTAAATTAAAAATATGGATAAAGAGTACTTACTTCTATTGTATTGACCTCCTGAAATAAGGTTAATTTTTTAAAAATAATAGTACACAACACAAATAAAGTTTATATGCATGAATAAAATTCAAACTGTGTTTCTGAATTGATATCAGGCAGTAATTACTTTATAAGTAGGCCATGCTAATTTAACAACAACTTTATTATACTACACACAAATATATGACAAAATAAATCTTAATGACAAACTTAATCTTACATTTTTTAGCTCTATAAATCAGTTGATAAAAAACAACTAGTTGATATAAAAAATTTAATTGATAAAAACAATTGGTTTATTTAATTAACTTATTACAATCTAATCAATCTTTGCTAATTTATCACTATCTAATACCATATAAATTAATTTATCACAATCTAATACTTTCTATGTTAATTTATTACAATCTAGCACTATCTTTATTAATTTATTACAATCTAGCACTATACTTTTTATTTTATTACTATCTAGTACCTTTGTTAATATACTTATCTAAAAGCAATTTAATATACATTTTTTAAATGTCAAATATTTTTATTTTGACATTTAAACAATGAACAATGTGTTACATAGAAAATTATACAAACATAATGTGTTTAATACACATAATGTTTAACAATAATGTTAAACTGTAAAGAACAATAAAAAAATGTTTGAAATAGACATACGGGCAATCTGAAAGGTAATGCAGCAAATCGATTTCAGTGAGAACACTTCTTCTATCGTAACCATCATATTTTTCAATAATCTAATAATTTAAAATTCCCAGTATAATTATTACAGAGACACTGATTCTTATGTAGCTATGAAAGTAAACAAACAATGGTGTAGCTATACAACCATGGGTAAAACATATAAACAAAAATTTTCCAATTTCATAGTTTGAAATTGAGCTAAGTTTTGATTATTCAACCCTTTAAATAGAGGTTAGAACTCAACAAAATCTGATCAATCAAGACAAGCCTTTCAAGTAAAATCTGTATCAGGTATGGTAGACATTCCAAGTTTTTATTTCTGTAAGTAAAGTTAAATAATGGTTTTAACCTGTATGTTTAACAATAATTATAATTAACAAAATGTAAAAAAATGATGCCATAAAACATGACTTAAGGCAAACAAAAGATATACATACAACTAAAGCATTTCTACCAGTTAGTTGGCCTTAGTTACCTGTTGGCCTTGTTGTTCAAGATCCCAATGTGTATAAAACCAGAGAGAAAAGATTACAATATTTATAAAGATATTTATACAATTTAATTTTTTTTTTTTAATAAATAATTTTTGACTACAAAACTTTATGCAAAGTTAAATTAATAAAGTTAAAAATTTTTAAAAACTATGAAATATATTTATACAACTTTATATAAACTGCATTACTCATTATAAAGAGTTTTTTAAAGAATTAAAAGCCAATGAACTTAATCAACGGTCAAACAATGATTAATCTCTACTTCAAAATGAGACGATGATTAAAATTTTATTGCTGTAAAAGGATTAAAATTAAAAGATGAACTAAATTACCTTGACAGCAAAGTCTCTTGAAGAACACTTTTCCTTTGCTAGTGACACTAAAGAGTTTGCTCCTCTTCCAAGTACTTCAGAACTTAGTGTGTACTTGTCTAAAAAATTACAATTAAATTATTTAAGTTTCTTTTTTTTTAGATATCTGACACATTTATCATCTAGGTAAAATTGTTGTACTTAGTAATGTCTGTGTTGGATAAGATTTAAAATCAAATGATTTAAAATTAGGATTTAACCATGAACCATGATTTTTGATTTTGATTTGAAATCATACTTTGCATGATTTAGTATTTTTGAAGCCTTGAAACCAAATTTAAATCATTTTTTTTTGTTGATGTTAAGTTAAGTGTCATTAAAGCAAATAAGATCAGTGCAAATACTAGTGTTGCATAACTTAAATCATATTGTTTTTGTATTACAGAATATAACAATAATGTTGTTGTATTGCATCATGTAACATAAATTGTTTACATTTAAATTATATTATAAGCAGACTTGTGGAGCAGGTTTGGAGCTCCAACTCCTAAGAAATATCTGGCTCTGTCTCGGCTCCTGCTCCCGAACTTTATGAACAAAAACTGCTTTTTTTTTTTTTTTTGATCACGTTTACTAACCCAAAACTATACCAATTACAGCAATTAATTTTTATTCTACTCTCATGATTACAAGGTTATTGTATTTTATTGTATATTACTATGACTACTCTACTACCAGATATTACATTTGAAAAGAAAAATATTTTGGGTAAATAAGTATTTTTTCTATATATTATTAACTCAAAACTAGAGTTTTTATTTCAAAATTTAGTTCTAATTCTACCCAGGAGGCATGGTGCCTAAAAAAGATGTCTTTTGAACGTCCCAAAGATGTCCAAAACGTTTAAAAGGAATCCAAAACATTCAAAAGACATTTAAAAGGGGTCTTTCTTACGTTCTGTATTTGCATGACATCTTTTGTATGTATATTACCCACTGGGTAATACTATATTACCCACTGGGTAAAACATGAGATCGTTAAATTTAAAATGATAAAAAATTCTTAAAAAAAATGAAAAATAACTAATGCAAAAACTTCAATATTTATTTTAATCTAAGGAACTTGAAGATTATAAAAGTGCTTTTTATTTTAATATTTTTCATTATTTTAAATAAATAAGCTAACATTTACGCTAATCGACAACATCAACTTCAACAACTTCAAAATTTCTCAATGGGACCAAACTGTGTGCAGATTGATGGATTCAAGCTTTTTGGTATGAATTTGATGTCTCTCGAATTGTACTTTTATTCTTAAAATAATGACAAGAAGCAAGATTAGGCCAGAACCAACAGGGGACATCCTGACTTCAATAAAATTGCTAAAGTCTTTCTTACAAGTTTTTTTTTATGTAAACACCCAAGCTCAGGATCTCAAACCACAGCTGCATATTGCTTGCCAAAATTTAATCTTTAAAAAAACTCTAAAACTTTATATCTTTTTGTTTGTTCTCTGTTCGATAAGCTGGGAATGATTGTGTGAATGATTGTCGAATACTGTGGGAATGAAGTGTGAATGATTGTCGAAAACTAATTGCTGCTTTCTTATTCTTAAAGCCACTTTTTCTTCCAGATCTATTTTCTAGTTTGATAAGTAGAGAGCTCTTGTATTGTTTTATGACCATACAAACAGTAGTTTTACTAGATTCAGATGTTTTAGGGATTGAAAGCAACGATGCAAAAGGATTTTGTAGATAGTTGTGCAGGATTTTTTTGGTTTTTCTAACTGTTCCATTGATATTTTAATTAAGAGAAACATTTTGACTTGTTTTTTGATGTTTTTTGTTAATACTATAATTACTTAATGTAATTGCATGAAAAAAAATATTTAATAATGGGTTAGTGACAAGTTTTAAAACAAAATTCATCGTTCCAAATTTAACGTTCTAAATTTAAATTGCGCATCAAATATTTAACAGCATATTATCAGTAAAAAAATATAATATAAAGCAATTTATGTAATACTGTAATGTTTCCATATATAGTTTACTTTTTTTTTTAATAAAGCATATTAAGAAATGCTATTAAAGGAGTTGAGTACAAAATCATTAAAATATTCATTTTTATTATGTTTAGGCAAGACCATAACTGTTAGAAAAAATATTTTTAAAAAAGTAGAAATTCAATAAATAAATCATTCAACAATTTAGTTAAACAATAAACGAATAAAGTTTGTCTACAGTAATAAAACAACATATACTATATTCCTTTAAACATTAGCTGAGAGCCGCTCATTTTTTGCGGTTCTGGCTCCACCAAAAAACTGTGGCTCCACAAGTCTGATTATAAGATAATAAAAATTTACCAATTATTCTTAATTAAACATGTTTTTTTTTCAGCATTTAAGGGTTAGAAATATTGTCTTAAACTTATTTTTGTCTCAAGTATATTACTAAATTTAATAATATATTTTGTCTTATATATATCTCTTAAATATAATAGCAATCAGTTAGAATCAAGATTAGAAAATCTTAGCCTGTAGCACAGTAGTTTTGTCAGTTTAAAATGCATAATAGGTGCATAAGAAAAACATGTAATTTATATTTGTTTTTAGTAAATGTAAAGATACAAAGAATTTAATTTTTTTATATTCAGATTGAATGCAGATCACTGGGTACCAAATAAGACAATTTGCTGGGTACCAAATACAAAAGTCTGAAGTCTGGCAACAACCAAATAAAAACATTTTCAATGACAACAAAGATACAACTTAATGCAGACTTAACTGTTTGTCACACCCAATAATTAAGGTTTCACAGCTGAATTAGAGTAAAATTGAAGTTTGATTGTAGAGACACAATTGATTCTATGTAACCATTAGGCACAATTAAAAAACATTTATTTATGGTACTTGTTGGATAAGATTTAAAATCAAGTGACTTAAATCATGATTTAATCATGAACCCTGATTTTTGATTTTTTGGTTCTAGCCTAAGTTATCACAAAAAATCTAATCTGTCAGAATCAATGCGAAATCTAATCAAATTATGCCTCAATTGCAAGATGAGCTTAACGTAGCAGGTGTCTAATAAAAGTTTCTTAAGCAAGACAGCTCACTGGCTATTACCAGAACAGGAGAGAGCATCTGTTGCATAAATTTTCGTGCAAAAAGTTGATGAGATAATGAAAAATCCAGAACATCTGTTTGATATATACAATGATTTGATTTTTGACTATATGAGAATGCTGTGATGTGTATTAACTTTATATACAAAAATTACTATTCACAGGTTTTAAATAAAAAACAATTTAGCTCATTAGCTTGTCGTGATTTTGACATCATAAAAATATCTTTATTTATTTTTTTATTCAAAGACTTAAATTTTTTTAACTTCCGCAATAAAATAAATAACCACAAAGCAAGTTTAAATGTACATATTGTGGACTGTCTATTTTTTTTTTGTTCATGTTAAAGTTAAGTGTCATTAAAGCAAATAAGATCAGTTTCAACTTTTTTCGTGTTATTAATAATAATTAAATTTAATATTAGATTTTTTATTATCATTTCACTTAAATTATTTGCTTTCTTTTCTCAAAACTTGTAGAAATTTGTATAGAAATCTTAATATATTTTTAATATATGTTTTCTAAATGTACATATTTTGGAATGTCTATTTTGTTTCAAGTTTTTATTGTTTTATAATAATAAATAATTAAATTTAATATTAGATTTTTTATTATTACTTAACATTAATTATTTGCTTTCTTTTCTTGAAATTTGTATAAATTTGTATAGAAATTTTACTATATTTTTTCATTAATTTTTAAAATTGCAACTTTGCAAATAATGGTTTTTTACTTTTAAAAAGTTATTAACAAACAAAAAATATTACTTGTTGCAAAAAAAAAAAAACTCAAGTTAATTACTTTTCCAGCACTTTTTTTGTGACAAACAAACATTTAAGTTTCCAAGTACGGCAAAAAAGTTAAATGTACGTTTTATGTATACTTTTGATGCAGTGTTATAAGTTATAACATGTTTACAAAGAATTTAATTTTTTTTTCAAATAGAAAAGGAGGAAGAAAAATCAAGGAAAAAAAAAGCTACTTTTTTATTTAAATCATTTTTTTATTCAAAATTCTTTCTAAACTATAAGGAAATTTCTCTTTGACATCACACAAACTGTTGATGTAACTATTATAAAATATTATTTTTCAAAACTATTATTTTTTGCAAAATAAAACTTATAAATATAAACAAAGACATTGCAAGAGTTATATTGCTTTAAGCGTAAATTCAAAAAAAAAATTATAAAAAAATAAACTCTTTATAAGATGTCCTTTAAAGTTTCTAATAATGTTTTTGCATTTTTTTGATAAAATCAATTATTATAAGAAAACAAAAAAACAAACAAAAAAATATTAAAATATCAAAAGTGACGCTAATATAAAATAAGATTTAACGTAAACTATTTTTTAGCTAATAATTTTTTGTTTTGTTTTTTAATTGTTTTGAAAAAATTCAGTAATTATTTTTGTTATTGTTTGTTATAAGAAATTGTTTAAATATACTTGGCAAAAGATGTTTCTTTATCATTCTTAATAACTCTTAATATCATTCTTAATATGCGGTAGTGGTGTAGTGGTAAAGCGCTCGCTTCATAAACGAGTGGTTCCGAGTTCGATCCCCACCATGTCCCTGGTAGTACTGCGCTCAACTCGTTTCTCCACTCAGCAGCCTTGTTCATCAAGGTTCGTGTTTCGGAGTTATAGAGTTGAGAGAGGGTTATAACCACAAATAAGTAGTCTCCTCGTCTGTAGTGGCCTTCTCGGCCTTGAGGAGGTGAATTAAATAAAAAAATTTAAAAAAAATAAAAAATGGAATCTGTATTCCAAGTTTTATTAGTAATAAACAGATTACTTTTTAAACCACATAAGTAGATTGCTTGTCATATAAGGAACTTGTAATCAATCTCTTAGTTTGAATGTACTTAAAGTTTTTTGTAATCTACCTGATAAAAATATTGTTGGCAACTGCGAAAAGCCGTTCTTATGATGAATTTCATCGTCTTTAACTATGCACAAATTTTCTTGGTTTAAAAATTTATATAGGTTTTTTGAACAACAGCTTTAATTTCTCCTTTAATGGATCGCTTTAGAGTATTTTTTTATGAAATGCTTTATTTTCATGAGGTCTGAGTACTTTTCCTATCCTTGGTCGCATTTCTCTCTGCGAAATCTCTCTGCGACTGACATGGATTTGTTTTTATGGAGTGAATGATAAATTTTGCTTTGTATTTATCTTTATTCCTTTCTTTTTTCCACCTCCAACTTCTTGATAGATTGAGTTAGTTTAAATTGCTGCAAAATAAATTTAACTGAGAATCAAGAAACACCAGTTCATTTCAAAATGGCAATTTGTGACAATGAAGGACTTTGAAGAAAAAAATTGTAAACTTTTTTTCAATATAATATAAGTTTACTCATTTTAATCTGTGAAAACTAATACTTATTAGCATCCAACAATCCAACAACAATATATTAGCTTCCGTGTGTAAAAAATTAAAATAAATTGTTAAGTAACAACTAAAGAGTGCTGAGTTTCATTGTTTTTAACCAATATGATTATAAACAAAAAAGAATTTTTTTCCATAATATTACTAAAAATACTAATAAACAACTATACAAAAAAATGTTAAATAGTAATTACTGCATTTTTCTTACAATTTGGCAATCATTCAACCATATTATTTAAAAAAAAACACAACACAAAAACTTTAAAACAAATAAATTGAAAACAAACATCACATTAAGTATGAACTGGTCTGGCAAATCATTGGGATCAAAGTGAGAAACTAAAAAAAAGATTCATGTCTACATGAGAAAACTGTTTCCTTTTTATTTGAAATAAGAATTTAAGATTAAAAGTCATAATAGAATATTTTTTTGTAAGGCGAAGATTACATATTTTTGAGGATGGATTATAAGATTGACATCTTTTGAATATACTCCATTTGATTATTGCTTGAATAACTGCTTTTTTTAAATTTCCAGATTTCCTTTGAAAGTTATTTTTATAGCTGATAACATAAACCACATAAAATTTTTTGTCTAGAAACCTGATCTTGAAGTAATTTTTGTTAATACTATTGTAAGATTTTTCTGTGTGACTGAAATTATGTGACATAAAATTTTAATTTTTTTTTTTTTTCAGTTTAGACATTGGTTTCTAAAGGACATTCAGTTTTCTTAATACAGTTGCAGTATCTAACTTTACCGTATGCCAAAATTTTTTGGTTATGTGATTTAATAACAGTTTGAACACTTGCCAAACAACTGTAACTTTGTTTTGTAAAAATATTGTGATTTTTTGTTTAAAATCTTGTGGAGCTTGTGATGCAATGAATAATGTGAATTAATTTTAAGAAAAAGTAACAATGCTTTTACTAAAACATGGATTAAATCATATGATGTTTCAGCTATGCCAACTTGTGTTAAAATTAGTATTAAGAGGATTTTAATTTAAAAAATATTGGGATGTGCTGAATTAATTTTGTCTAAAATCTATAGTCTAAATCCTAAGTCTTAATTATAAATTGTGCAATTGTGCATAATTAAAAGATACAAAGATCTAAGCAATCTCATAAAATAGGAATTGAAAAAAAGAATGCAAAAAAAAAAAAAAAAATTAAATTAAAAAAATCTATTAACAAAAATTTTTTTTTAAATATGTTTGCTTAAATTTGATTAGTTATAAAAAATAATCATAGTCAATAACACAGTTACTATTGACAACAAAATATATATATTAAAAAAAAAAAAAAAAAAAAAAAAAAACAGTCAATAACGATATAATACAACAACAAACAATCAATAATGAAGACAAAATTGAAATTTAAAGTAAAAAAAGAAAAAAAAAAAAGTTGATAATAACCCTTGTCAACAAATAAATATAAAATGTTAAAAAAATATTCAAAAATTTTATTCAAATATTTTAGTTGCTATAAAATAACAACTAAAATATTTGAATAAAAATGTTTATAAAAAAACAAGAACTTTCTCTGCTGTCTTTTGACCCTTGCTTTATTTACTTAAAGCAGCTTCAAAATTCAAAAAATAATAAATAAATAAAAAACACAAACTCAAGCATTTTAATAATCTTATTGAATGCAAAGTTGACATTTTAATAATCTTATTGAATGCAAAGTTGACATTTTACCATGAAATGTTTCCATCCTGACAGGTTGTGAAAGTTTCTTTTTCTTCTTTTTCGTTGTAACAATTTCCTTAGACATAATTGGTTGATGTGCTAAAAAAAGATAATACTTAAAACAAATTTTTTTATGATAACAAAACTTATTTCCTTATTTTTAATGTAAACATTCTTTGTTTACATGTAACAGAGACAAAAACATTACTTTAATAATATAATTATAAATGTAACAGAGAAGAAAATATTTTTTCAAAGATAAAGTAGAATAAAAAATTTTACCATCAGCAAAAAGAACATTTTCTATTTCTCCTGATTCAGCAACTTCTTCAACACCATTTTTTATCCAATCCTCATATGAAGTTGGAAAGTGCCATCCATTTTCCATAATTGTATCTTAACAAACAAAAACAATATTTTGTGATTTATTAAAGTTGAGAACAATCATATGCCACAATTAAAAATTATTATATAATTAAAATGACCTCATCTTAAAAAATTTTCCTGATTAGAAAAAATGATAGGTATTGTCTAATGTCCTCTTTAATGTAATTTATAATGTATTTTTAATGTATTTGTGTATAAGAAATTCTTTAGAGAGTTTGAACAAGAGGTGAAACAATATAAAGTAAAAAAGAAATAAAAACAAAGTAGTTTCTTAAAAAAAAAAAACACAAAAGCTGAAATAAAAAACTTAAAACTTAAAGAATAAATTTAAAAAGAAGCAAAAAATATTCAAAAACTATCTTATATTAAATGATTTTTTAATTTAAATAATAAACATTAATACTTTTATAAAACATAAATTTAATAATTTGAATAAGACTAAAATAAATATTACCATAGATTTGAGTAAAACAAATTTTATTTGTTTCATTTTAATTTTAATTTTTGTTTTATCTACTGAATTATTTAGGAATCAGCGTAAATAAATGTAGTTCTTCTCCTCCCATTGTTAAAACTGATGCCGCAACAATGATTTTTAATCATTTTTTCAATCATCATAATAATTATTTGTATTTATCTTGTTTAGTTTTATCCTAAGATTAGGTGTTGATTTAAAGGCATGTTTTTGAATACATGAAAATACCGGTGGACAATGTTACTTTAATTACAATAAGAAAACTATTTTGCTTAAGACTTTAATAAACACTTTTTTTTGCTAATAACGCACTATTGTATATAATTATTGAAAATTGTTTAAAGTATTTTAAACATTTATTAACTACATTTTAGTAAATTTTAGTAGTTATTAATGTTTCAAATAATTAATTAAATTTTCAAATACTTTAAACAATTTTTAATTAATGTTTACATTACATAATTTAATTACATATATTAAATGGTGTAATATTTGTAAAATTAACAATAAAGTTTTACGTCTTGTATTTGAATAAATATTCGCTGCTTTTTATCATAAAAGCCCCGACAACATTTGGTATTACTATAATATTTATTTCCCTTTAGTGTTGATACTACTTTTGCTCTTTGAATAAGATCTTATAGTTGGCTTTTAATAAAAGAAAATAACTTCAAGCCAATCTGTTGTTGATCCCATTGCAAAAATGATATTATAATAGTGTAATTTTTTCTTGAATATCATTATGGAGTTTTAAGTCTCAACTCCATACCGATACTCAAGGTATGGAGTTTTAAGCCTCAACTCCATACCGATATGCAAGGTATGGAGAGATACTCCATACCGATACTCTCGGTATGAAGTTTTAAGCCTTAACTATATAATGATACTCAAGGGACTCTTTAAAATATTTTCCATAAACATAAGTTTAAATATAGACTTTTTTTGAGATAACTGTTTTTTAACCTTTTCGGTCATCACCTATACAAAAATTGAAGAAAGTTTCAAATAAACTTAACAGCTTAAACTAAAAAAGCTTAACAGAAAACTAGGACAAATGCAAGACAAAATATATTACGAATAATTTACGCTAAATAATTTTCGCATTTTCAAATATGACCCAGATATCGCTAAAAGTATTTAAAAAATTTTTTTTTGTAATTAAATTTTGCCACCATATCAAATAAAATAAAGATGGCTTTAGTAAAAGAACAGGACAAAATATCAAAGCTAAAAGTTAAAAAAAAAGCGGCAAATAGACAATAAAGCTTCAATATCATAGGAGTCAAAATATTCAATACAATCAACTTTTAATATATCCACTTTGTTATGCTATATTCATAATATATCCACATTATAATGCTATCTGTACTTTATTATGCTATGAGTTTTATACATATATAAAACTCAAGCAATCCAAAAGGAAATGCTAAACAAAGACCTCTAATGAGGCTAAGATCATTACTACCTACTATTTTCTATAACTTATTGAAAACAAATAAAGAACAAATGGGAGGCGTGCATCAGACTTTTCATGACTCATATTAAAGGTTCGGACTTTCTAGTTTATTTATAAAATGTCAAGAAAAAAAAGAAAATTGTTTATATCAAACATTTTAATAAATATTACTATTAAATTTAATTATTTAATATAAAAAAGAAAGAAAATAAACATTTCATAATATCATTTCTAAATTTTTACATTAAAGCAAGACCTGATATATATATATATATATGTGTGTGTGTGTGTGTGTGTGTGTGTATGTGTGTGTGTGTGTGACCCAGCTAAAAATGAGACTTTTTGCAAATCCAGCCCCATCAAAATTATAAGATTTACCAGGGGTTGATAGCCAAGGGTTGCTAAATTCTAAAAAATTGTAAGATTTAGCAGGGGTTGATAACCATTTATAATTCTTTATATATTATAATTTTATACTTACATTTACAATTCATTAAATTCTGGCATTTATTTATGCCAGTATTTAATAAATAGGGACAGAGAAAGTAAAACGATGCAGCTTATTGAATAAGAAGCCAAGCAAGAATGAGTTTTGGTTTATTGTAATTGAGATAATGCGCATTTGAGCATTGACCATAATTAGAGAAATACTATAAAAAAGAAAAGCTAAAGCCTGCTATTGCTGCTGCTAATGATGACAATAATGATGATGATGATAATGATGATAATGACGATGGCAATGATGATGATGATGATGATGATGATGATGATGATGATGATGATGATGATGATGATGATGATGGTGATGATGATGATGATGATGATGATGATGATGATGATGATGATGATGATGATGATGATGATCATATGGATGTGCGGTAATGCAACTAAAATGTTCTGTATCGCAACGTGCTTGTTCCGTAAAGCATCTCTTGTTCGTTACTGCAACTTTTTTGTTCGCTATTGCAACTCCGTGTTCGGTTTTGTAACTTGAATAATTTTTTTTTTTTTTATTAAGTTGTTACGTTGTCAGCCGGCTCAAAATAATTTTCTTTCAAAGTTAATTGAGCAGACAAAAATTTGTTTGGTGAGTGAAGTAAAATATTGATATTAAAACAAAATTGTATTTTTGAGAAGTAAATTTATGGAAATCTAATATATATCAGTAGCCTATATAATTACACATGTGTTTAAAGTTTTAAAATTCTTTTATTTAATTTTTATTTACAAAATTTACACGAAAAAAGCAATTAACTAAAAAGTGTGTAGGGTTTAATCAAAGGCTGGCTTTAATCAAAGTGATTTATATCGATTTCTACTCAACAATTGAGTAAAAGTTTATTTAAACCACTCTGATACTAGAGAGCTAGAATCTAAGTTGTGTAAGTAAACTTCTACTTAAAATTTCACCTAAAACATTACAAATATAACCAGCTTATAATAATGTTATTAATAATATACTATATGCTTATGATAATATTATTAATAATATTTTATATGCTTATAATAATGTTACTAATAATATACAATGTGCTTATAATAATATTGTAAATAATAGAGTAGTTTAAGTCACTTTTAAGTTGGCATAAAAGTTATAATTTTTATTTCTTAAGTATATGATTGTTTAGTATTTGTTTACAATATTAAAAGATTTTATTCATAAAGATTATTTTTAGATTAGATTTTGTCCTTTTAAAAAGGAAATAACTGTATATATATATATGTATATATATAAAAAAACTGTATATATATATATATATATATATATATATATATATATATATATATATATATATATATATATATATATATATATATATATATATATATATATATATATATATATATATATATGTATATATATAAAAAGGCTTAGCCTTTTTACTCAAGATAAAATTTAATCTAGAGATGGCTATTTTAAAGAACTCTATTGACAAAGTTTAGATGCAGAACTTGTTATTTGCAAGTAATTTTTAAATAAGAATTTAGTTATTTTCTTTTTTTTATTTACGAATATAGTGTTAAAATTATAGATGGTATATTTTTAAACAGTAATAATATAATTTCAAAGATTTTCATTTATATTTACAACAGCTATGTTGTCTTCTTCTTAAATATAAAGATTTAGTTTTAAAAAATTAAATTTTTCTCTTGTATTATTATGTGTATTTAAGTAATATATCTGGCGAAAACTTTTAATCATACTCCAACATTATTATCTTTTGTTTCTTTAAAAGGTAATGATGCTTATTTTACAATTAAAAGACATTAAATAGTTTTACCATATTTACAATAGTTTAGTTTAAATGTCACTATTTTTTTTGGCAAGTTTAATCAAAACTATCTATTAAAGTTAGTTTAAAAATTATTAAAGTTTCTCAAATATCTTCCTAACCGCTGAATTAATTTCAAACAAATGTGCAGCTCAATTAAGTTTTGAATGTTAAAGCAACTTTATTTTTTTCTTTATGATATAATTTCAAGAGTAACTTTCAAAACCTGATGAAGAAGATAAATGTCGTTATTCTTGTAATATATTTCATATCTTTTTCAAAGTTGTTTTCACAAGTGTTTAAACATTCAATTAGGGATTGTCTATATATTTTGCAATGCAAAGTTGATTTTAAAAAAAGAAGTAGTAATATTTAATTCTTTTACATGACAAAACTTTTAGAAAAAAACTTTTGATCTCTTATGTTTTGTTTATTAGTGAAATTTAGCGTTGCATAATTTATGGACAAACCCTATTCAGTTTCACTTTTAAATCAAAGAAATTCACTAATACTTTAATTTTTGCTTTTTCTATTCTTTAATTTTAGAAATTCATGGAAAACCCGATTATTTTACCTAGCTTTTAAATTATTAATTAGTTTTTAGACTTGTCCTAAAAGTTAGTTAAAATTACGATACTTACAGCAACTATAATTTTATTGTAGTGAAAATTTTGTTATTGCACAATCAAACAAAATGTACTATGCAAAATTTAAAAAAAAGACTTGAAATAAAGAGATAATTGAGTTTTTTATCCTGGGAAAAATAAAAAACTAAATTGTGCTCTTTAAAGTACTTTCAAATGTT